ATGGCTGATGGACAGATGGATGGATGTTACTGGTTTAAAAGACTTCCAGGACAGTTACACATACATTATTAGCATGTTTGTGTATAAAGGGTGAGATAAGAAAATTATATTCACTGTACCAAAAGCAGACAGTGATTATATCATGTATGTAGAATTAGGTCAATAATAGAAGTTATTCCATCCTGGTTTTTTCCTGGTTTAAAATGAGCCTCGGGGAGGTGAGCACACACTCGAGCATCTTTGGTCCATGCAGAGTTTATAAAGGTTTGGGTATTTTCATGTTATTTTTGACTATAGGATTTAAAGATATCCTCACTAAAGTTCCAGTGATTTACCTTTTGCTTGGAAGCTAAAACCTCTTTAGTACGTGTCAAATTTTTGATATGCAGGAAACACCTTGGAATCAAGGTAAGTGTGCCACTTACAGAAAACACTACCATCAGAGGTTTTTGACTCTTATGGGAAACCTTTCCTGATCCGTTCTAATGCTGATTATGTATCCTAGTTGAGGAATTTTAGCACTTTGATTCCTGATTTTAAGCAGTGTGGGCTCATCAGCCTCGATATTCCTGAGTCCCTTGTTTCACAGAATGAAATGTGTCAATTACTAAGTGAGGAAAAAAAAGAAAAGAAAAATCCAGCAAAGTAAAACCAGAACACGAGGAAACGTGTAAGAGAGAGACAAGTGACTTAACTCAGAGCCCAAAGCTCAGACGGTGATAGAGGCCTAAGTCTGACCTTCTCCCGCTGACAGTGATAGTCTGCAGAGCTCTGTTACCTCTAATCTCCCGTGACAGTCACACATTACAGCTAATCTCTGCTGACAGGCGACCATACTGAAACAGACTAAACTTCCTGTCTTAACAGTGTCTGGATCATACAGTGAAGTCCTGCTTTACAAGTAAGGAAGGCCATATCCTACAAGCCGAAATGTCAATTCTTGTATTACTGTTCGAAATAAAACTAGTGGCAGCGATTGTGTGAAATTCAGTCTAAAGAAGTGCGATGACCTGCTACCGAACAAAACAATGTGTTTATGACGTGTCCTTTAAGCTGCAGAGAGAAGAATGAGGTCAATGAATGCAGAAATATCTCACTGTCACACTGTTTTAGAGACATTTTGCTAAAACATTTAGAAATGTTAACATTTGCTTTGGCTAAAAGTTAGCAGACACTGTCCATAAGGTGCACAGTTTCATTGTTTCATAGCAGAGTCAAAGACACTGTGACAGCTTTATACTCACAGGTACAGTACTGCTCCTAAACAAGAACGAGGACTTGAAATAAGACAGAGACAGTGAGACAAGGCGAGAAAGACACAGGAAGGAGGAAAGTGATGCAAAGAGAGAGTCGTGCAGACAGGTCGGGCCAGGTAACACTGACCAGACAGACATCAGTTTCTACACTGCTCTTCCTGTGTTTCTATCTCAGCTCCGTCATCATGTTTTTATTTTTTTTATCTGTCTTGACTATCAGGTCCTGTTCTTTGTCTTTGCTGGAATTCACTCCTCGTGTGCAGAAAATGGCTCTGAACCTCATAAACACGTTTTATATTTTAAAGTTACAGATTCTTTCTTCAAACCATCGACTGCATGAGTTTCTTTGTAATTTGGTGGAGGTTGAAACTTGTTTCTTTTCACTCACCTGTTTATGCACTGACCTGCAGGCTGCAGCTAAAAGGCAATGAGCTTCCTGAAGGACTTTTTGTTCCTGTCAGGAGAATCCTTTGAAATGGAATATTGAAGATACAACACTGAGAATACACTGACCTCTCACAGTCTGTCAGGGCGAAATGGTTCCTCACATTTGCTTTGGGTTTTGTGACACCATGAAA